TTCATAGTACACAACATAAGAAAATGGAAATAGGATCAGCAAACAGGCCATATGGCCTATGTCAATGCTTCTCCGCATATAATTCATTATTACCTTGACTTAATTCTATGGAGCAGACAATAGAACATTAATGAATGAATCAAAACAAAATAAAAATAAAGAAAAGAAAATAAAGAACAAGATACCAAGTGCATTTTATGTTTATAGGTTGTTACTTGAATTCCGTAAAGCGGTTAGTTTCAGTTATATAATTCTGTACGGATTTTATTAGGTTTTCATTGTCTAGAGGAGATAAGTCGTCATTGCCGTGAAGTATGGTATATATGCTGAGGTGGTTAAGGACAAAGTATTTGTCGGGTCTAAACTGGGCATAGCGGGGACATGACAGAAAAAAAAAAAATATGTTCAGTATAGTATTGGATGACTTCCCGTCATAATCAACACTCACAGATTTGGATTGCTTAATTTATATCTAGTCGAGGGATGTTTTTTAAGGACACCCCCATTTCAATCTTCCTAAAACAGTGTGTCCAGATATTCAAGCTGGTACTGTTTCCAATAGATTGTGAGCTGACACTTGTGTGACCATTCAGTGTTTAGTTTGAACCCTTGGCATCATGTATGAATAAGTGAAAACATTTGAATAAGTTATGTCCTTATGATTACGTCATCTGAAAGGGGATGGTTAGTGTCTCCAAAACAAGCTCTTTCAGGCAACATGAAGGGGGGAGCCACTTTAACAAGCAATAGATATATAGAAAATGTAACGTCACACAAATAACTTGTACATACACAAACATCCATTGTCTCCTAGTCCTTCTGAGATATAGTAAATGTAACGTCACACAAGTAACCTGTACATACACAAACATCTGAGATATAGATAAATGTAACGTCACACAAATAACTTGTACATACACAATCGTCCATTGTCTCCTAGTCCTTTTGAGATATAGTAAATGTAACGTCACACAAATAACCTGTACATACACAATCGTCCAGTGTCTCCTAGTCCTTTTGAGATATAGTAAATGTAACGTCACACAAATAACTTGTACATACACAATCGTCCATTGTCTCCTAGTCCTTTTGAGATATAGTAAATGCAACGTCACACGAATTACCTGTACATACACAATCGTCCAATCACACAAATAACCTGTACATACACAAGTGTCCATTGTCTCCCTAGTCTTTCTTGGATATAGAAAACGCTCTATGACACCCCGTATCTACACAAGTGGGCACTCTGTTTTGTCCCAGTGAGATATTGCAACATCTCACGGACAAGCTCTACATACAAAGTGTCACTTTGTTGTTGCAATAAATATTCAGTGTATGTTGAATCATTTGTAATATGATGCAGTGCACTTATCAACTTGATGTCTGTATGGGTGTACTGACGTAACCTCACACAGTCTACACTAACATACTGCACCACTGAACCAGCCCGTTATACAGTATAAAGGTATGATTATTATAATTTATCAGTGACTTGTATATCAGTGGAATAACATACGTTTTCCTATAGTATACAGATCCCTGCACAAGTGTACTGACATAACCCTCACAGGGTCTGCACTTACATGCTGCACATGTAACCGACCCACTATACATATGATTATAAATATATGTGAGATTACTACGCTTTATCAGTGACTTTTATATGAGTGGAATAACTACAGTATACAAATCCCTTAATGCAGAATATATTCTGACCACCTTTTCCTTTCAACAATACACCCAACACACACGGATAGATTGTAAATCTCCTTATATGTAAATCCAGATAAGAACCATTCACATGGGGATGCCAAACACAAACATACATTGCTGACCAGGGGGCAGTTCAATATCGATAATGAAATCGATCAATATTGATCTCTAGTTTATCGATAAGGACACTAGCCAGGGATAAGTCGTGTATGACGCATGCCGAATACGAGGAAGGGTGGGTTGTATGAATGACCGTCCTCTGATCTCCATCAGTCGTCCAGTGTTGGCCTGAGAGGGTAGGTCAAGCCCTACATGGGGATTGTGTACTTGAGTTTATACACGTCATAATATACTTATCTCGCTCCGAAGCTGAGGGTGTTTGCTCAAGGTACTGCCTTTGGGTGTTTGGAGACTTAGGTTTCATGTTGTGGATTAGAAGTCTATTTTGTTATGACAACCGCTGCATTGGTGCTGAATATGTGCTACTGGACTTCCGGACGCAGTGTACTTTGGTATTGTTTAAACCGCTCTTGAAAAACATCTGTATCATGATTGTGAGGACATCAAAAACTTGGATTAGTTTTACTTTTTTCTGTGTTTGGTTCACTCAATAAAACGTAAGGATGAAATATGTAATATCAACGCCAGAAATAAATAGTCTCGATGATTTGCCAGAACAGACTCCAGTTGACGAAAAAAGCAAAACGGTGGTGAAAAGAAAATGAATGAACCTTTGAAAGTGAGTGATGACACAAGGCGTTTGGAAAAGGAATAACCATTTCCTTCTCTATTGGAACCAGTTAAACGATTTGAATAAGTAGAAAAGATATGTTCCTGCGCGAACATTTCAATAGTCCTCTATGAAGAATGCAGAATCACACTTTATTGCTAATAAATGATTTCAGTTGTCTTTGTTGGGATTGTTTTATTATATTCATATATATACTCTTAAAAAAAGAAACTTGACATAGGACAAATTTGAATTTTAGGAAAATATTTGACACAAACCAATCCATACTGAATCCCAGCATGTGGGGGAATGGTTGCCGACGACAAAACGTTTGAAAAAAGAAACGTGTAAGAAAAACGTAACGTTACACTCACGTCTGTAGTGAATCGCTAAAAAGCACCCTACATGAAATGCACGAGCATCATGAAATTGTGTATCACCCTGAGCTGAACCCTTTGACTATAAGCTTTAAAAAGCCACATCAATGGTACTCCACATGCATTGCTTTAAGCCACTATAGACGACAAGAGAATGAAAAGACGGACAGAAGCTCAACGACACAACGACATCCGCCGTTTACAAGGATGGGCATCGCAGCATGATGTGGCAAGGCACTTCAGCGTGTCCAGACAGACCATCTCAAACCTATGGACCCGATACAAAAACACTGGGAGTGTTAATGACAGACCCAGGTCAGGTCGACCTGGGGTTATCACCGCCGCCCAGGATCGCTATATCTGGTTGAGACATTTTCGTTCAAACACCACGGCCGCATCATCTACGACAATCCAAATCCCTGGACTGCTCCGAATCTCCGACCAGACAGTGCGCAATTGGCTATGGAAGCCAGACTTTTTGCCAGAAGACCAGTTCAACGTCACGTCGTTCCCGACATCAACGTGATCTTTGGAGCATGGCAATGTTCGACCTCACGTTGCACGTGTTTGACAGGACTTCCTCCAGCAAAACAATGTTCAGTTGTTACCTTTGCCTTCTCGATCACCGGATTTGTCCCCCATTGAACATCTATGAGATACTCTTGATCGACGCTTGCGCCAGCGTAATCCGCTACCTCAGACACTACAAGAACTGCACACAGCCCTTCAGCAAGTGTATCAAAACATTCATCAAGACAGCATTCGGCATCTCTTTTCTTCTATGGGTCACCGCTGCCAAGCTGTTGTCGATGCCCATGGTGGTCACACCTGATATTGACATTTTACTCTGACCAAGTGGCTTTAATAGCCCTTACCAAACACTTTCTGGATACTCATGTTTTGGAAATTTGTAAAGTGATGATTTTACTGTAACTGAGCAATGATGTCATGTTTGAATCAGTTATATGCACTCAGTAAATAAACTCCAAAACAGCATGTCAAGTTTCTTTTTTTTGAAGAGTATATTTTCTTGTTTCATACATTTGATCAAATAGTTATTCTTTGTCGGCAACACATGTGTGAGTAAGGCGATTGCAAACACCAGGCACACCCTCACTGCTAATTGGCGTTGTGGCGTTTCTTCACAAAATCTTGATTTCTCCGAAATAGAATGTCTTTGAAGGAGCGTGTACGTTCACTACTTCCGTTCAGTACTTCTGAAACGAATAACACTTCGCAGGAAGCCTTTGATTTATGCACGTGATATTACTAAAAGCGATGGACCATACTCACCTTTCCTTGCAAGTTTCTATAAGTCTGCAGTTGAATTGTTTATGGATAATTTGGAGGTTAGGTCTCGAAAATTGTTTATTTGATCCTCAATTTATTTCCAAGGTGGGATATGCTGCACTCGTTTGGACAGATACAACCTTCCTTTAATTAGGACGGTGATAGTGTCTTCAATGCTTGGAACTAAAGGAAAGTTTTGAAAAGGCTGAAAACTAGAAATGATTCTATGAACTACCGACAACATAAAGTGCGGTCCTACAGAATCCAATACAATGTATGCCACATTGTCCATTGCTGAAACCTCTGCGTGCTGTGCTCCCTGATAAGAGCCATCAACGCTGAGACAGTGAACACTCCAAATGGCATTCATTTTTTTGTCATCAACTGTCACATATGTGACTTGCTGTGAACGAAGAGTTTTGATTAAGAAACACCAAGCATTTGAAAGAAACAGTTCATGCAAGGTACAATAATCAATAACCATTAACAGTTCACGTATTTGAGGATGACAATGTGCAAGAGGACCTTTATAACACGTAATGCTCTCACTACAAATCTATGATTTCCCAAAGGTTATATAACAGTAATAGAAGCACAACAAATGTAACTGAATCATTGATGCAGATGAATGTTATTTCGGAAATAGAACTGGTGATATGTTCTACAAATAAAAACAGAAAACACTGTCATAGAAAACGACGTTAATGAGTAGTAAAGCCTAGGTACTAATATCTGCAGCATGTAATGAATCGTGGTAGTGCTGCAAGATGTCTCTGGCAAGGGCGAGCGACAGCTGTGGAGATATCGACTGACTGGCCGACGAGCTGGTTTAGTCAGGCACATGAGGATGAGTTTCTATGTACATCACTTCCCCTGAGTGTTGTGTACGCATGCGCGTGTGTTAGTGTATTCCGTTTCCAAGACATCATTCATAGGGTAGGCAGGGATGCTGTGATAGTGAAAAGATCGTGTGTTGATGGATTGAAACCCTTGGGTTGTCTTTCACGGACATTTTGTATCCGACAGCGTGTGTTGTGTGAACATTGAGACAGACATGTTCTGACTTTGTTTCGTCTATGGAATACCAGTCATGCATAGCGGAGACTTCAGTGTGGCATGGATTAACCCTGCTTTTGGGTACATAGACAATAGACAATAACAAGAAGACACGGGATATTATTACAGTCTTCATGTGATACCATCTATCCTGCTACCTTGTTTTGTAGCTAAAAAGGCTAGGATTCAAATAAACCTAAAGGCAAGCTGACATACTTGAACAATATTTAAAGTTAAAATGGAATCGGATCAAGAAATATCCAATTCTGCCTCTGCTTCGACAGACATTGTCTTGAATTCCATCGAACACAAAGGCATGGAACGGGCTATCTGGATCAAATGTTTTCTGAATGGAAACCCACATTTCCCTGGCGAGAGGGTGCTGTTCAGTCAGAGGAGGTTCAAGACAGAGGATGCCTTCTTGGACGAGATCACCAGGAAGCTGCACAGTGAGAAGAGTGTCCGAGCACTCAGCACACCCAAAAGAGGAACTCGAATTCACAGTGTATTTGATTTGGAGGATGGCCAACAATATGTGGCGCTCACTAATGATACATTCAAGAAACTTTCGTAAGTTTCACTTAAATGTGATTGTGTTTCTGTTGTAATATTGGGACAAATATGATATTTGCTTTTACAAGAGGTTTCACAAAACTGAAAGTAAATCCTTCAATGACTTTATAAATATATCGTATATGTTTTATTAACATATCACAATCGTGATATTATATTACATTTCTTTATAATTATTAATTTGAACATATAAATGAATGACTTTGTGCAATTATACATTCTGAACATCAACCAGGCTTCAGAATATCAATTATTCTGATTATCACACTTCATATTAATCACTTAAATAATAAGGCTGCATAATGTTGATCCTTCTGATGTTCAATGTGACCATCATTGTTGATGGAATATTTTAAATGTGCCCGCCGTGTCCGTCTGTGCGTTTATTTCCTTTTACTGCTTCATTCACCGACCATCATCCCAGTCACGATGACCACATACAGCATCGCGCGGGCACCTCGGTCATCTGTTTTGTCAATAATACTACCAGCGAAACATCAATATTTCTTAAAATAATGTTTTCACTGAAAAACACGGATTACACACACACCGACTCTTTAAATAGAAAATAAATAACCACCCCGTTATGTTCGTAGGGTTCAGTGTAAACATTTTACGAATGATACCTAGATTACATTCCATTTATTGTGATAAAATAGTCGTGGTTGCTGTCTACACAACCCTCGGCAACATTCCAGTCATAGAACCTTAAGACTGAAATATTATATCGTCCAAATATGTGGCTTTTTATCTAGCATAACTTATTGCTCAGTGTGTGCAGACATATCACAGGCTTAAACAAGTTTCATTTATGAAATATCCTCCTTTTTGATAAATATGAGATGGAATTAAAACAGTATCGATCTGAGCCTATCGTAAGACCACAGACTTAAGCTCGTCGTAGCACAGAGCTCGGTCAGAGGAACGTGGCCAATACATCATCCATAAGATGTGTCCGTTAACTTGGTATAAACTCCATAATGCTTGATTTACTGAAACCTTCAGCCGAACCTCCAGCCTGATATCCCACCTTAATACTTAATAATGCCGATCGATATTGAAGATATACTCCATCACATCATCTGACACCACGACGGTTAAATATGTTATTAGAGTTGATATGATATCCTACTTCTCAAAATAATGTTACTCTACGTAGAAAATAGACATGTGCTTTTTCATCACGGAACTCACCTATTTTATCATTTTGTCTGATTCATAAGGGACTTGATACACTCTGAGTCCGCAGGGAAGCGGGGGTTGTTTAAAGCTTTAAGACCAACAGGAAGTCGGTCGGGCCAAGAAGCACAACGTAGATCAATGTATTAACTTGAAAGGTATTTGTGCTCTGTTTACTCACAATAGTAACCTACGTGTCAGCTTAGTGTCCTTAACGTGGAATTACAGTCAGTTGTTGTGCAAGTAGTACAAACGAGGGTCCCTGTCTACCGGACTATGCCATGTTGCAGGCCGCAATACGAGACAATGCCGTGTGAACTACGCGACGCCATACACATATAGCTGACAGATTTTGGAAGTTAGACTGTCAAGTAACAATGCTTATCTGCTTCAAACTACTGGTCCCAAAAGTGGTTAGGACATGAAGTATGTTCCTTTGTAGATATATTGGCGTTTATCCAGGTGGTTATTCCGTGTCATGCACAATATGCAATATCATATGAATAATCAACTAGTTTAGAATGTAAATGTCATTGCGAGAATCATAATGAGTAATGTAGATAAGAACTGCGTACACTTTCACCAGGGTACCGTTGTACAAAGCGATCTTAGCACTAAGGTAAACGTAACTCCCATGCCAATAGTCTTAGCGCCAATAGTCGTTGCACAAAGCGATCTTAACGCTGAGGTGATCGTAAGTCCCATACTTTAACATAGGATTACGATACCAATTAATGCTCACCATATAAATTGAGATTCAAGGGCTTAGGATGATGGAGTTTATGGGGGATATTGGTTATATTATACTGCTGATGAAGATGATGATGATGATGATGATGATGATGAATTGTTTTTGTTGTGTTTTTGTTCAGAGAAGCACATGGTAACATGTGAAAATAATGCAATGTTTTAAACATGACATTAAACAGTAAATATGACTAAAGTATAAATTGTAGTGACAGTCTAGTTCTAAAGATGGCTGAAAATTTGTTCATAAAGTTGATGCTCGAATAACCGGAAAGTTGGTATACGCTGAGTGGAATCACATTAAATTTGAAAAGAATTAGAATCAGGTTTATTGGATCGACATATTGCCTGAAACACATCGTCACGGTGACAGTATCCACGCTTTGATAGCTTCATATCAGAAACATTTGTTTGTGGACAAACAGACTACAGAACTGAAACCAATTGGCAAAGACACAAAGGAGTATTATGTCAAAATCAATTAAATACGCAACAAAAACTAGTAGCGCGATTTGCCTTTATGCTGAGACTGAAATCGTTACAGATGATCCGGACAGATTTAGATGGATAATCCACCAAACTGTTGTTTGTAATACCGATATGTTGTCTAAATTAACAAGGCAATACCTTATCAGAACTGACAGCGAGCTCTTGTAAACTGAGCTGTGCGAACAGTACACGAGCTTGGTTAATTATTCATTAACGTGAAACACAAAACCTGGATGAGTCTATATACCGATAGGTATGTGTGTGTACCTGCCTCGAATTACAGCTCCTGATGTTTTATTCCTTGCTTCATTCGACTTAAACGTGCATTAAATACACCGCATAGTATGTGTGACTGTTATAACTCCAAACAGAGTTATACATGATGACCCCGGCTGGGTTATAACAACATACAGGATATAATTAAGGAGTAGTTTGTCCATTTGTCATCCTATGTTCATAAATTGTGTTATTACCCATATGGTGAAATATAACCAGTGTCATATATATCATATGTGCACATGAGCACATATCACGTTTGCCTAGCAACCACTTTTAATGTATTTCGCCTGTGACGTCATAAAAACTGAATATGACGTCACCGTGTTTATGCACTATGTACATGAATAGAATGAATAATGATAAAGAAATTATTACACTCGAGCAAGTGTGTCATACGACTTACGCGTAACTCGTGGAAAATTATGTACTGCCCTCGCTCTCGTTCGGGCAATACAAAATTTCACACTCGTATTGTGTCGTATGACACACTTGCTCGTGTAATAATCTCTATGTATTTGCAAGATTTCCGACATAACAATAAGCACTATGTGTAAAACATATTGTGAAAGTAAAAATATTACTCGGTATACTTCATGGTGCCTTGGGCATTAGGATTTTTCATTCATAAACCATGAACCTTATTTTAATGCCTGTGATAATTAAATCTGTGTTGGTACACCGAAGCTATGTAATGGATGTAAGCGCCATTTTTTATTTTTAACCGAGAAAAGCAGAATTAAGTGTCGAATTCAGTTCAACTTTGAATGTTTCGACTTAAACATCTATTTTTATCATTGCAACAATGAAAGTTCGATGTTGTACTAACAACGACTCACTGTGTTAATCTCATTTGAATACTAACTACAAAAGCATGTGCACTGTTAAATACTAAAGGAAAAATGTGCTTGTTGTAATTAAGATCTACAGTGAATCATTCATAGGATTGAGAAACAGGATATAATATTAAGGCGAACATTTATTGATGTCAACTTCTTTATTTGAGGAACATGACGTTTCGGGGTATATTCTTACCCCTTCATCAGGAGGACATGATATATTGGAGATGGCCCTTAAAGCGAGTGTAAACTACTTGAGTCGGCGTGACTACGGCCGACCCTTTGACTTGCCAACAACCCTCCGTGTTTATGTAATATATACTATTCCAAAGACGTTTAGGAACAGTGGATTGTTTTTAGGTCGCCATGGTGAATCTGTCGTGGCTTAACAGATTTACATAGTCATACAGAAATAACCGGCCGTTCTTCGACTTCTTTGGTAACGATACATATGAGTAGAGATTCCATACTTCAGATGGTATCTAAACACACCTTCTTGCGAAATTTTAAGATAACGTCTTGTTGTTTCACATATGACGTTATTATTGAATATATCATTTCTAACGTTTTATAATTACTAGTATATGGTGTGTATACGTACGCTATGGAACATCTACGGACACTATGGAAGTCTACATGTTGCTTAAATAATTTTAAACTACATGTTTTACAAGAGGTAAATTAAATACATTTATATGACCAAGTTCAACCTGATAACAAATATATCGTCAGAAAAGAAAAACATTTAAGATGAAATTTTCATACTGTTATTTATTTATTTCATTGTTCATTCGTTCCTTCATTCATTCACATGCTTGCCTGCTTCCCAAATATTCTTAAGATGAACTTTTCACTTGTTCTTTCATTGATTTATAGGTTTACCTGATTCCTATACTACCCATGGTGTAGATATATGGAAGCATATTGACTAGTTGTGTGATTAACACGGCCAGAGGTCTTCTAACCTATAACTTATGGGATATGAACAATGCAATTGTCATTTGAAATTATTTCTTCCTATTTCAAAGAACATAATATGATGATTGTCATGCTTTAATATAACACTGTTCATCTTTTATTTTTGTATTTATTATTCGTTCCTTCATTAATTTATATGCTTGCCTGCTTCACAAATATACCTAAGATAATTGTTTTTTCATTCATTCATTCATTTATATGTTTGTCTGTTTCCTTTTCTACCCATGGTATAGATATATGAAAGCTATATTGACTAGGTCTTCCAACCTATAAGTTATGGCATATGAACAATGCATTTGCCATTTCCTCCTATGTTAAAGAACATAATATGATGATTGTCCTGCTGTATTGTTATAACACTGTTAGACCACTATCCCCATTCATTCTGTGCTAAATAGCACTATACTCGTGTATCGGAAAAATAACAAGCCTCTTAAATATGATATAGCTATCATAATAACTCATAATTTAAAAGACATATTGATGACA